GGGAGGGGAGGGGGCGGCGGCAGCGGCCTGTCACCCTGTCAGCCCGTCCCCGTGTCCCGCAGGTGGTGAGAGCCAAGGAGCGGCTAGACGAGGAGCTCCGCATCCAGGCCAAGGACGAGAAGGAGAAGGGGTGGAAAGCCGAGACGTGACTCCTGCTGCCCCCACGCCCCGTGTTCCTCACCCTTAACTTATAGGTAGCCAATAAATACCGTGTCCTGGCCTGGCCTGGCTGCTCTGCGCCCGGGGGGAGGGAGAGGGGACTTGCCCACCTCTGCCCGCTGCCCCGGAGGGGATCGGCCCCTGCCAGGGGCTGGGTTTTGCCCTGGGGAGGAGGAGGAGGAGGAGGAGGGAGGCGGCTGGGGAAGAAGGGGTGTTCCCCGGGGCACCGAGGGCTGCCAGGGCTCAAATGGCACCCAGGGAGGGAGGCTGCGGGAGCTATTTTTGTGGTGTGACCGGATGCTCTTGGCCTGAGCGCACGGATACCTCTGGCTCCGTACCACGGGAACGCCGTTACCTTTTTCCCACCGCGGGCGGGCAGCCAGGATAGCTGCTGGGTCGGGGCGAGGGGCCGGGGGACGCCGCCGCACTGAGCTGTCCCCCGCCACAGCTCATCGCCCCCTTGACCCGCCACAGCTCATCCCGCAGACCCTGGCCCCTGGCTTCCACCTCGGGCTCATCGTGGCGTGGCACCTCCAGCACCCCTCTGTCCCCTGGCTTTGTCCCCACCTCGGGCTCATCGTGGCCCTCGCCGCCATCGCGGACTGAAACAGGAACTTACTTCAACTTCACTTTATTGTTTTCTTAATAAACTTCCTCTCCCCTGGAGGAATATAGTGTTATAGTCGTTAGCTTATCTCTTAACTTCTGCAGTCCTTAAACGCTATGCTAACAGCGATGGAGCCCAACAGGAGGAAAATAAAAACAACCCAGAAACTACGATAGAAAGGCACTTCGAGACCGTTAAAATACTGATGTCCTGGAATGTGCAACAACGAACCGACGAAGGAGCGAGGAGACGTACACCGGCCGGGGCGGCCTTGGTCGATGGCCCGCGGCCATGCTGGGGCTGTGGCAGCGCC